TATATATGCTATCCTTTGGTATTACCCCATGCACTATAATAAAGTAAATGCTTGTATTTACATATTGTTTTCAAAGTCAGGGTATATACAAATACCATGCCAGGGGCTTTTACTGCTTTGGTTCAAACTGTGTATGTTTTAACTACAAAACCTTTAAATTCAGGATTTAACAATGAATATATGAATATTCTTATAAAAAAAGAAAAATATGAGGTAAGTTTCAAAATACTGTGCAGTTTTAGCTATATGACTTTCAACAGACCCCAGAGGAGACACACTACTTCAAAAAATAAAAAAAATAATTAAAAAAAAAGTGTTGCAAACCCATTCTACAGATCTGCAGCAAGGACTGGGTTACAGTTGGATATGACCAAAGGACAAAACAAATCTAAATGAAACTTAATTTTTATGCAGCATGGGTGGAATAGAAAAGGTAAAATAACAGTACCCATTGTTTTCTCATGCTTCCTATTTACATGTATTTTATTTATGTTAAATTTGAGGCACTTTGCTCCTTAACATGTAACAAACCACTTGATTTTGCTATCTAAAGAAGAAAAATAGGAAAATTATTAGCACTTAAGAATTAACTGCGCAATAATGACTTCCAGGGCTTTTAAAAAAACATGCATAAATCTGAGTCATCATCACAATGTTCAGCACTCTTTACAGATCTCATTTTGAAGTCAGGCATGCAATGAGAAGTGTATCTGATTTGCCTGACTGCTCATTAAGAACAGGTACCTTGCTGCACATCCTGCCTAACATGTAGCTAACAGGCTTTCAAATATACAGTTCTAGCAGCTGTGCATGCAAATTAGGCATAGAATTATGTACCAGTTAAATAGTTAAAGCGTTTTCAAACTACTAATGAACCAGACCTTATCCTGAACAGCTAATACCGTGCAATTAACTGCATACTCATGCAGGTTTCTACAAGATAACAGATATGGCTCAAGTAAATCCAATGGCAGAAACAGCTCCTAAGCTGGTATGTTTGCATTCTAATTTAGATCCTTGCTCAGTAATGTACATAAGTATATGCCTAAATTAAGTACGCGTTTACAAAGAGCCAATTTAATACATACTTAGCCACATAAGAGATGCTTAGGCATTTAGCTCTTAAATAGGAACCAAGTTAGGCAAATAACTAAACAATGAGTCAAGTTGAGAAAGGTACTTAAATACAAGCCTAAACTTTAAATATGTGTCCTCTTACTGAAATAACTGGAAATATTCATTTGTTTAAATGTTGCTCAAGGAATCCACAGAACACTTTTGGTTAAGTGCACCAGTTTAAAAAATGAGTAACATGCATATCTAAATTGTAAAGTTAGTAGCGTTATTCCCAGAATACTTTTGTCCTTCAACAATGTAATATTTTATTTTAAATACAAAATCTAGTTGGTCAGTTCCATGCCACAAACAACAATCCATGTATTTTATTTAAGAATGAGAAAGGGTCTGTCTTGATTGACAGAAACCTGAAAATTTGCCTTTATATTCTAAGATACTGTCTTTTCAAAAGATACTCCTCTAGTTTTTAAGACCAGGTCAAACTTTTTACCAACTCTATAGAAAAACTGTTGGGGGGGAAAAAAAAGAAAAACTGAAATATCTTGCAAATTTACTTCCCAGTTCTTTAGATAGTTTCAAAAAACAAATTAATATGTGAGACCAAATAGCCTCATGAGTTATGGGCGTTAAGTTTTAGAGTTTTGACAACACTTTAGTTTAAGAATAACTGTTTCACTTTTTAAACTCATGATATCTAAAAGTTGAATGGAAATGAGGTAAAGATATTTATTTTCTAATAAGAGAAACAGACAAAAGAAATATGCCAGATCTATACTACATCTTCAGAAAAACTTCTTAGAAGCTCATGTTTTGTAAGCTGGAGATTCCATGATCATTTATTTATTGATTCTTCATTTTGCAAAGGAATCTGGAAGCAGATGTAGATTAGCTCTGCATTGTCTAAAGACACTTTATGCTTCTTAGGAATTGTACAGTTGTCCTAAAAATCAGTTATGATTCTTACTTTTTTATGTCTTCAAAGTGCTTAAGAGTCCTAGCCAACCTAGTTCATACCAGAATCCATTTTGCTAAATGCTGATCAGAAATATCTTTGTTAAGCAAGTACTAATCACAGTATTTTTATCCCCCTCCAAGTGCTCAGAAGAAATTAATTTCCTACTCTTTGTACTGAAACTACATGCTTAATCCCACCCCACCACAAACTACTTCTGTAATAACTAAGTTTGCTTGTTTTAAAAATACTTACAGTTCACATCTACTCTAAGTATAATTAAAGTAATTCTTATTTTCCTGCTATTTTAAATCAACGGAAAATGCACACTTACAAATTATTTTATTTGTGTGATCCAGTTCATGATTCTTATTGGATTTAGCAGCAGTGATTAAAGAGATACACCTACTGGCAATTACCTCAACTGCCACATTAAATCAGAGATCATGAAGCAAAAGCTCTTCTCATCTGCAGTGCACAGCCTGGTGCATTATCAGAGTGAAACCAATAGATCCCAATGCAGCCGGCTGGAAAGATCAATGCCTGAAAACTAGACACACCACCTGGTGCAGCACTTCTGCTTCAGGGCTTCCGTTTCACAAGAAGCAAGAACATAATTTAAGGATGAGAACCTTCTCAAACATTCTTGCATGAATTGCCAGGGCTTCTAAGATTGTGAGATGACTGAGAAGATACTTTTTTTTTTTAAATCCTCTTGAAAGAACTTAACACTTCTTGAAACAATCACCTTTGGAGCATGTCAAAGTGCAATATACACATACATACACACACGCACACACAGAGCTGATTCAATCTTCCCACAAATAATAGTATTAAAAGACAATGTGCCTCACGTAACACATTCCAACCAAAACCTCAGGCTGCATTTGTACTTATGAGTGGTAAACAGTTTCATCTGAAAATAACAAAAACAAAAGGATGAAATCTTACTGCCATTGACCTCACTGGAGCAAGATTTCATCAGAAGCAAACAAGTATTTCATGACATTCAATATTCATGAAAGTTCAGAAATTTCAGAAATAATCATTTAAACTCTTCATATTAGATATAAAAAATAAACTTTTTAAACAGACCATGCAACCTAAAATAAAACTACTCTGCTAAGAAGAAAAATAGCAGAGAAAGATCATGACTTGACTTTGTAAGGTTAATTCCTCCAGAAGAGTCTCAGCTGTCCTTTTCCCAGATAAACTCATAAAGCATATGAAAGAATGTCTTAAACTGACATTTTTCATTATTTCTGTCTTCTGACACAATGTGCACATCTGTTGAATTTAGATGCTTAAACATAGCTCAAACCAAATTTAGCCATAATTCACAGCATAAAAATGAATCATATTCTAAATTCTGTGTATACCATCCACCATTCATAAGCAGCTTCAGGTCAACTTCAAAATGAAACACTATGAACCCTTTACAAAACACCATTTTTACA